TATTTACCTATCTACCATCTATCTATTTTATTTTCTATTTATCATCTAGCTGCCATCTTTTTATCTACCATTCATCTCTTGAATATCTATCTCTCCTTTATCTAGTCTAAATTACCATCTATCTATCTACTATCTCTGTCAGCTTATTTTATATTCTTATTCTGAAATATCAGAAGCATTGCCACAGTTTCAATTACTAGGCTAGGGTTATATTGATTATAGGAAGACTGAGTGAATTTTGGTGTCAACCACACTGGAGTCTGGAGGCCAAAATAATGAAATATTATGAGAGATCAAAATATTTAACCTAAGTAACCAGCTAAATTTCCTCCCAAAACAAGTATTCTTAAGTTTCCAAGGCACAGTTAAATGACCCCAACTGATAGCCTTGGCATTCCTGCGAGCTGACCTCTTCCTGTGTGGATGCCACCTACCGTGGTCAGGTTTCCTTCATTGCCGTGGCAACCAGCAAGCTGCTGGGTGGTTAGTATTTACAGACTCACATTTAAAAGAAATAGAAGAGGTAAAGAAAGGAAAATAAATAAAATGAAAGGAAAGGAAACGAAAAGAAAAGAAGGAGTAAATGTTTTTTAAATCCCAGCAGCCTAGGAGACTGAGGCAGGAGAATTGCCAGTCTGAAGTCAGACTGGACAGCTTAGCTGTCTCAAACGAAGACAATAAATAAATAAATAAAAATTAAAAAGGGCTGGGAATGTATCTCATGGTAAAGCACCTCTGGGTTCAATCCTCAGTAACCCCCACCTCCCCCTAAAAAAACCAAAAGTTACAATCATCGCCCCTTCCTGTGACTAAAAGCATTGCTATAAGAGAATGTTAGTAATAAGATTATCCAGCTGAATCTACGTTCAATTTCTACAGTGTGCAGCCCAAGGACACAGTTCCTGGCCTGGGTATCTCTGTTGTGGAAGGAACAACTCTGCACGAAAAAAGTAACGTGGTCAAACCAACATCAAGCGGACACGTGGCCCGTCTGCATGGATTCCTGAGAGGCTGAAACAGCACTTCATCCCAGTGTCTGCCCACACTGTCACTGTGCACCCCTAGACTGGAGGGCCGGAGCAGCCCTTCCCCATCTGGAAGGCATTTCCTCTTGCAGTCAATCCCTCCTCCAGGAAGGCTTGCTATCAGTGTTTGTACTTAAAAAACTAGATCCTAGAGATAAATGACATAAGAGCCAGTCCATTTAGATAAGCTGACAAACATAAAGGAAGCAACTAGTTGTGTGATTTATAATTCCTGTCTCAAAAGCAAGGGATAAAAATGCCTGACTCACACTAAAATAGGGCAGGGGCAGGGGGGCAGGGGAGGGCTGCAGGCTGCTTTCTGCTGTAATGTCAGGAGGAGGAGGAGGAGGAGGGGGATGGGGGCCTGTGTTGGCTTCCTCCCTCCCAGAGGAGCAGCTACGAACTGCTCATGCCCAGGAAGCCCCAGCTGACCAGACACATTAAGATCATCTCTCCCTCACAAGGGGATCCATGGGCTTCCCATCCCCACCCCCACAGAGATTGATAATTTAGGGCCATTCCTTCTGGCTGGTGACCCTGTGGCTTTACAGGGACCCAACCCAGGGCCCTAGAACCTGGGCAGGCAGGTTTCTGGATGTTGATGGGGGCTCAGGGACTCTGACCAGCAGAGCTCTGACCCCCTGCCAATCAGGGTGCATGTGAGAAGGCTGGGGTTAAGAGTGTAAAGGTTCCCATTCCCCATTCTTTGGGGACCCTCCTCCAAGTCCACATGAAACTCTGAATCTCCCCCCACTGCACCCTGCCATGGAATCATCTGGAGCAACAGCTGAGGGTGGGATCGTTTGTTCCTGCCACGCAGCGATGTCAGCTCTGTGAGCTTCAGAGTACCCGAGGCTGGGCAGGGACCCAGCAGCCTCGAGGAGAAAAGAACAGGGACACACGCTTTCCCTGTCCCAGAAATGGACTCGGGCTTTCTGTCTACTTAGGAGAAAAGAACTGTCAGTCTCCTACAACACAGAAATGTGCGATACCTTTCAGAGGAAACCCAAAACATTTTTAAATTAAAATCTATTTCCCAACTCAATCGCTAAAAAATAAAGTGATAAAATAATATCCCATAAGTATTAAGTAGTGCAAGACCATGTTTCTGCATTTCATCCCGATTATTTTACTTCATAGACTAAATAAATATCTGATGTGGATTTGTTTTTCTTTTTACAGAAGAAATAAAAATATCCAAGCTTTAGTGTTTATCAAACCTAGGAGCTTTTATGTGGATTATCTCAAGAGATCCTCAGCTTGCTCTAGAAGACAGGTACCATTATGACATGGATCACATCCAAAGTGGGGGAGGCAGGTGGGGCCCACTCACCCTCCAGCCCACCAATGGCCTCCACCGGGCTGAGCCCTCCACTGGAAGAACTCCATTTAGGAGGCCTGTGAAATAGACACTGGTGGAGTCCCATTTGTTTGCAGGCTCCTGTGACTTGCTGGGGGTGAGGCAGGAATGGGACAGATGCACTCTTGCTCCTCCAGAATCTCCCAGCCAGGAGCTGGGGTCTGTGGTCATGTGCAGCACCTTTGAAAGTTTCCTCTTCCAAAGGATGATATTAATGGTTCTCAACCATGCAACACACAGACATCAAGGAGACCAGAAGGAGGTCTCTCGCTTTTCCCTGGGTAGATCTGGGGTCACCCCAGCCTCAGTTTTCCATCAGTCCAACTTCCCCTAGACTGATCCCTTTGTCAACTAATTGTGACTTTTCTTTCAGCATACAATGCTTTTGGCAGAATTTACTTATTAAATTGGATTGGAATGAGTTAAGCATAGAATACAGGACCCAGAGGACTACAGAAATGTCTTTGGCTCCGATCCCTCTGTAATAGAAAGAGGCAGAGGAGAAAACCAACACTGATCATTATGAATGGATGACATATGAGGAAAAAAGGGCAATGTATGAATTCACATACACACCTAGCACAGATATGGTCATACGCTGTGTGACAGCATGTTGGTCCAAGACATACCACATAGACCAAAGTGGCCCACAGATTATCTTGGGCTGACACTTACCATTCATGATGATGGCCACTGGAGCACAGGGGCAGTCCCTGCTGTTCAGGGAGGTGGTGAAATTAGTGTGCCAATGACAAAGATCCCATCCTTCCCAAACTAACTCCAGGCTCCTCTGAGCCCTCCTCCTTACTCAGCCTTGGCCACAGTTCAGTGGCATGTCCCTATATGACCCCAGCCCCCACGGTCTACCTGCTGAGGAAGCTCAAGGCTGCCCCCAAAATTTGTTGCTTGTTCCAGCCGACACCCAAAGAGAGGACCCACTGCTCTCCGTGGGAGGGCATGAGCCCGACTCACTGCAGCCTGACTTCTGTAGACAGTCCAGATGCCTTGCCCAGAGACCTACCCTTCCTTCCCCGGATCCTGCTTCCTTCCCTTCCAAGACTCCAGTGAGCTCTGCTCACCTCCACATGGATCCCTTCTTCTCCCAGTGACCTCTGCACAAGTCAAAGCCGAGCCTGGTCCATGCTGGACTTTCTCTGCTGCAATAGTCATTGCTGATTAAGATCTTCTCATGTCCAGCCTGCCCTGTCTCTGCCCCTATTTCCTGCAGTGGTGGCCTGTTCTGTTCTGCCTGCCTCAGCTGCCCTGAGGTTCTTGTTCTTCACTCTCCTGAAGTGCCTGCATTGGTCCGACCCGCCAGGTCCAGAACTGATGCTCTTGCTGCACCCTGGCTGTCCTCAGCCCCACCTGTAGGGCTGGCCAACCAGGGATAACGTGCAGCTGACCCTGCAGGACAGGCAGGGGTGCACAGCACTGGCTCTGGAATCACCGACACTGTGGAGCATCAGAAGTAGGTGTGTGTGACCTTGGAAAGAATCTCCAGGGAGGTGGCAGAGACCTCAGTAGCTAATGGGTTTCAAGGACTAAAATTCTTGTGTCAGTTCTGATGGACATCTCTATCAATACCGGTGGGACATGGTGGTCAAGGAACCAGGACTGAGGCAAGTCCCGTGGTGAGATAAGGTGGTCCCCAGCTGCACTGTAGGCAGCTGTGCGGGGAGGACGGGACCTTCCTAGAGAGTCCCTTGTCATGACTGGGGAAATTCCTAGCTCCTCAAGTTCTGATATTGTCTCCATGCCTACACCAAGCCAGAGCCCAGCACATAGATAGCTCTGAGAAGGACAGAGAGAAAGCACCTCTCATCTCCCCTCTGGAGGTACATTCCAGCACACCAGGGACCCATTTTCCTACCACTGTGGATCTTCATAGCCAATAAGTAGTAGATTGACTTCTAGTGAGTGTTTGAGTGCATTTGGCTCTCTGAAAGGTCTTGCTGAAGCTCAAATTTCTCCTGTAAACACAGTATCTTAGGCAATTTACACCATCCTCCTTGACATGTCCCCAGGCCAATATGAAGACATGGAGACCAGACAAAGCAAGGCCTTGCTCAGGTGGTGCTCCTGGGGCCAGAGAAGGACAAAGCAGGACCACACTGCCTCTTGGGGACATTCCCAAGCCCACTTCTCAGAGAAGCTGAGTGTCGATCTGGAGATCCCCAGGGGTGGCAGCCCTGAGGGCAGAAGCCCTGGTGCTGTCCCTCACAGGTGCACCTTTACGGGGTGTGGCAGCAATTCTGCATCCCTCACCAGCTGGGCAGGCCTGGGTCAGGCTCTGCTCCTCCAGTGTGTTTCATTAAGTAAGAAAAATGCCATGATACTGAACAGGACCAGAGGCTAAGAGAGAACGTGTTACTGTCACCAAAAATAAACCCAATGGAATGCTATTGTAAGAACGCGATTCACAGACACAGACCTTCCAGGCCATTTCTCACTAAAATATGCTTTTCTAGACACCTTATTCAGGCTGCTCTTGTCCACTCGCCTCTCGGTGGCTATGCGTTGAAAGGAGGTGGTCAGCACTTCTTGTGGTGCAGACTTAGGACCTCCAATGACTCCCTGAACTGTGTACCTGTTGTGTTGAGCATGGTACCACTTACCTGGGGGGACAGGCAGAGACTTTGCAGGACACCAGCCCCGTGATGGGTCGGGTCTTGGGATTGCAGAAGGATGTGTTAACTTGAAACTTCAGGTCTCTGTAGCAGCCTTCCTTGGTGGCCATCTGCCCTGTGGGAAGGAAGAGATGGACATTACAGACTTGCCATTGTGCTCTGCATCAGAGGAAGAGCTGGCACGGTCTTCCTGAAAACCTTGATTACACTTTTATGCCTGTGTGTTAAGGTCCAAAGGCCAATTCTGACTACTCCATTTGCTGACCTGTCTTAATGATTTTTAACTGGTGGATTTCAACAGTTCTAGGATGTACACAGTTCCTCCCATATTTTAACACCTTTAAAATTAATACGTTTCTTGTGTTTAATGCTGTAATGTGTTTGATAGAATATAGCAGTTTTTTTTTTAAACCATAGCTGGGAATACTAGCGTTTATCAAAAGAAATGTCAGAATTATATAAACTGTCTCAGATTTCCAATTGAGAGATGACAAAGGGAGATAACTAGCAATAAGTCAGCAGGAAGCACGCACAACAAAATGGTTAGCAGTTTATCACCAGAGAATTGGGGGCTAAGTGTTGTCTGGGTCACAATCTGGATGCTTGACTTCATGATCGTGACTCAGGAGCTGCGTGGAATGAGGCCGGTGGGAATGAATGTTGGTCTGATTGCTCTCCTCCATGTACATCCCATGAGCTATTTAAAGCTTTATGAATATCCCTTAATTTGTTTAGTATTTCAATTAATGAAATTGTCTTGAAGGAAGCATTATGTGAGGCTCCAGGAACAGTCATAGTCCTGGAGACAGGGAGCAGAAGGGTGGTTCTAGGGTCTGGCAGGAGGAAGAGGGTGGACTCATTGTTTTATGAACTCAGAGCGTCTGGGCTGACAATCAAGTTTTGAGGTGGACAGCGTTGACGGCTGTGTAGCAACACAAATGTACTTAATACCAGTGAACCACACACTCAGAAGCAGTTAAAATGGTAATTATAACACCAGTGAACCACACACTCAGAAGCAGTTAAAATGGTAATTTTATGTTGTGTATATTTTTGTGATATCAAAAGAGACTATAAATAATTGAAGGATAATAATTAGAAGTTCATACAATAGGGAGAAGTCGTGACTTTGAGAAAGTCACAAAATACTCTGTGAAAGTATAAGAAAATTTATTTGAGAATGTATTTATTCTCCTGAAGAACATTCATATGAAAGAACAAGATCTAAGTCACACACAGTGCCTCTAAGAGTAGAGATGAGAGGTCAAGTTGGCATCCACTGCACGTGAGGCTGTGGGCAAGGAAAGGTAATAAGGACAAGTGGTTCAGGCACGTGGCAAGTTCGTGACCCCCTTATTCTAGTAGATTGACTCAGGAAAGCCAACAAAGGGTTGAGGCTGGAGTGGAATCTGCAGGCCCGAGTGCTCCAAGGATCCCACTCAGGTGCCACTGGACCAGCTCGAGGCAGACCAGGTGAGCACAGGACCTGGAGGAAGTGTGGACAGCCCAGTGGGCTCCTCAAGTGAAAGCACAGCAAAAGCAAGTGATGTCCCAGAAATTCAGCATTCTCAGGGACGCTGAGACCTTGGCAGGCCACAGGAGCTGTGCCATCACACCTGGGACAGACAGGCACTGGGGGCACCGCAGCACCCAAATGCCTTCATATTCAAGTCCTTAGCGAAGCCCCATCCACTCAGAAGGGTCAGGCTGCGCTTGTGCCAGATGGGTTCAACTTTCTAAAGGAAATTCCCTCATGTCCATGGGTGAACACATATGCCACGTTCCTACTGCTACCAAATTAAAAGCCTTTTTTCTTTGTTTAAATCCTACTTAACCCTTCCTTTGCAGCCATGTGACACTGTGACCCTGACCTGTGGCCTTCCCCATCCTCTGACTCCCCAGGCCTGCCCAGGTGCTGTCCTCTGAACCTGGAAGGTACCCCCCACTGCCATACCTCTGGGCTAACCAGGCACATGGCTTTCCTTCTGAATAAGACCCTGGCACTGCCTTCTCTGACTCCCTTGGTGGGGAGAGGGTCCTGCATCAGACTCCCAGGGGAACTTGCTAGTGAAAACCCAGAAAGCCTGGGCCACCCAGGGTTTCTGATGCATAGATCTGCAGGAGCTGCAGTTTGCAACCAAAGCCCAGATGCTGCAGAGGCTGCTAGACCAGGGGCCACCTTAAGAACCTCTACTCTAGGCCATATTAGAAGCTGTGACTTTTATGCCTCAGTTTACCCAGGTGTCACGTAGTACACACAATTCCCCAAACCCTGGGACTCTCTGGAGTGTGGGAAGATACATGCATGCTGAAGGGGTGACTGGGAACTGGGGGCCCCATAGCTTCAGGAAGGCAGCTGGCCATCAGAAAGACTGAGGCACCATTGGGAGGTTGGAACTCTCAGCCCTGAGCACTGGCCTGCCCTCGCCAACCTCAGAGAGGGGAGAGGGGCTGGAGGCTGCGATCATCTCCAGTGGCCAATGAAGTACTCGATCAGGCCTACCTACGTAAACCTCCACTAAACTTCTAAAGGATGGGTTCAGAGAGTTTCCCAGTCGTGAACATATCCATCATCCAGGAGGAGGTGCATCCCAGCTCCACAAGACAAAAGCCTGTGTCCCTGCTTGGCCCTGAGCCTAACATGCCATTCACCTTTATCCTTCATGATAATCTGTGACAGTAAACGAACACGTCCTGAGTCCTGTGAGCCATGCTGCAAATAAAGCCACCTACCAATTATCCAGAGGGAAGGACTGTGAAAGCCCCAACGTTGCAGTGAAGTTGGGCAGAAGTGTGGGGACCTGGTGCTATGGTCCAGATGTCTGCACCCAAACTCATGCTGAAATGGCATCCCTGTCAAGAGGGTGGACACTTAATCTGGCCATATGTCTGGGGGTGGGGCCTCTGGGAGGTAAGAGATTACATGAGGCCTTAGGGTGGGGTGCGAGCCCACAGGGAACTGAGCTGAGTTGGAGACACCCAGCTGTTTCCAGAGAGGGGAGGACTGCTGCTACGTTGGAGTCAGGGGTGTTGAGAGTTAAACAGCCGATGTCAGCCCCACACGGGTCTGTGCTCATCATCCCGGCAAAATGCCAAATGGCAATGTCTCTGCTGCTCGAGGCATGCATCATAGGCCGATTCTTGCAAGGTTGGCCTAACAAACACATGTCATCCTCTGGAACACGTTTCTGGAGGGCAGAGAACATGTGTTATTCATTTCTGTAATTTCAGTAGCTGGCATGGATTAATTTGTTCTCATTCATAAGTACTTGGTGAGTCATTGGCCAATTTTTTAATGTTTAGTAACTTCTAAGCTCGTACAAGTTAATGGGGGTTAACTAATACTTTGCCAAAAAAATCATCAACGTAGGGGAGTAATCTTTCTTTTATACATTACTTAGGAGGAACTGGGACACATTTGGTATGACTCACCTATGCATCAATACCGAGATTGAATTTGGATCATGTTTTATGAACTCACTTTTCTACTTGCTCACCAGGAATGAGAAACTATTAAATTAGAAAAAGAAACAAATGTCTATTTAAAACTATTCTACAGAGAATCTTATGGACTCTCTTAAGGTAATAATCATAATGACCCCATTTAAGGGAGGAGCGTACGGAGTAACTGTCCTCTTTTCTAACACTGTTGGAGGTCTCCCTAATGAGCACAGAAGGAAAGCTAACTTTTCCTCTACTTGCGTTTCAAGCCAAAGTTCCTTTTTAAAATTCTTTAGCCAAATTCCTACACTGTTTTAGGGGGCGTGAGTCTACAAGTAACACCTTCAGTTTGATTTCCTGCTTTGAAATTAGAAACGTGTGGAATTCAAACCTGTGTTCTAGTCTCAAAAAAGATCTCTGAGGATTCCAAGCAAGGTATAGCCCCTTAACTAAGCAAATAGAAAAGGTGCTTCACTCCAAAACAGAAGCAGAAGCTGACTGACTAATATACGTATTTTTCTTTCTTATTGGAGACATTCTTTTGGCTTTAACTTTGAATAGCCTTAGTATCAGTTCAAACTCCTATGGCCCTGGGTTTTTACCTGGCAGGAAACTCATGTGATAACCAAGTAAGAATGCATATAGGTATAACACACACATATTTCTCAAAGATAATGTTGGCTTTGTCTAGTGGGCGTGCATGTTCTGACTCTGTTATTTTTTAGCTGTGACTTGTTTTTCTTGATGGGACAACAGCACATGTGGCAAAACTATTCTCTGCTGTGCAGCTCAGACACAATGCCTCAAGGCTTCTAGCATCCCAGGGTCTACCTATTAGTGCCTGAAGTGCACCCATCACAGTGACAGCTGAAATGCCTCCACAGTTTTCCAAATGCCCCTTGTGAGGACAGCACCATCTTCGGTTGAGGACATTAGAATGACTGTAAGCAGATAAACAAAAAAGTATAAGATAAGGAAAGAAAGGTGGAGTGCTCTGTGTACCCTGGGCAGCTTAACTGGTTAATGGAAATAGAGCTGAAAAGAGGGTGGTTAGCAGGTTTAAAATAAATTTTTCTTATGAAAATGTTACAAAAAAGGAATATGTGGGATGTGGATAAAGCCAAATTCCGAGGACAACTCATGGTCTTAAATACAGACATGGATAAATAAGAATGGAAATAGGTGAAACCAATAAGGGAAGGTCATGGAAGCAGATAGAGGGAACTGATAGAGAACCAGAGGCCAGGGTATTAGAAACAGATGGCAGATGTCAATCTATTGAAGACGAACACTGTAACCCCAGCCCTGGCACTCCCGCCCATCACACTGTTCCTAGCAGCTCAGTGGCAGACACTGGCCGTCTGTTTTCTGAATCCCTTGTCTATGTGGCAATCAGCTGGACCCACCAATGGGAGCACTAGCACAAGACCAGGCAGGAAGAAGAGTAAGAAGTTGAATCACCACATCTCTTGCCCCAGTGGACATAACACGGGCTTTGGGAGGTGAAAATGTTTGCAGTAGGCCTCAGGCATTTTCCGGGGAATCACCTGCTCCTGTGATGGCTAGAATTCCCTACAGCTTCTCTGACCTTCAAAAACCAGAGCCACCCTGGGAGCTAGAGTTGTCTGTCTGTGACCTTGACTCCTTCATTCTATCTAGTAAGCAACCAATCCC